TTCTTCTAATTTATAATAATTATCTATTTTTCTTATTTTAATTTTCATGATCTCTATGCTTTTATCAAGATGTAAATATACATATTTATATATTAATTATTTTAAAGATGTATAATCTAAATATTCTTTTAGCTTTCTAATAATTAATCTGTTATTTATTAAATTTATATAAAATCTAACTGTTAACTTGAATCTAAAGATTTATATTTTTTCAAGTAATCTATTATTCATGGGTTTCCTCATGATCTTTATGGCTCTGATACCAATTAGGAGACTACTTAGAGCGGACAAAAATCATGAATCAAATAAATCAAAAATCATATAAATCAAAAACTACCAAAATCCAAATAATATTTAATTTTAAGGACTAAATTAGAAAATTTCTATCTTATAGTGACTTGTTATGTAATATCTAAATGAGGGGTATTTTGGGTATGTAAATTGTCTAAAGATCATTTTGGAAAAATGGCCCTTTTCTATAGGCTATTTTCATGTATTTCCCCCATCTTTTGGTTATTCACATTTTTATTCCCTTTTTCATTCATACGAATCTTCGGATACTAATTTCTTTGATTCAGTAATCTTCTTTTAGGATAATTAGCAAAAAAACATCCCTGTCGTTTGTACTCATTGTGAAAAAAGTTCCCATTGTTTCAAACAGTTCCCATTGTTTCAAACTTGCCATTTATACCCATATTTCAAATATTTCTTGCAGAATTGGTCATTTCTGTCTTATCCCATTAAATCATTCCGTTAAAAATGTGTAATTTGGCTTAAAAGATGCCTATCGTTTGCTTTAATTGCAAGCACGCCCGCCCGAAGTAGCATCCTTAGACACGCCCTTATCGCGGGAGGGGAAGAGACAAAAAAGTCCCTATCATTTCAATTTTGATATTTGGATACTCAGATTGACTTTCTTTGTTTAAAAAGTCCTTACTATCCATTTTCTCCACTACAACATTATGAGATAACTAATTTAAAATCATTTTTAAATTATTAAATAAATAAAATAATATAAAAATTGTATCTATGTTTTTTTTTTTTAAATTATGAACGAATCTCATATAAAACAATATAAAACATTATAATAAAAGAAAGATATTTTATTTTTCCAACTAATCCACCTCCACCACCACCACCACCACCACCAAAATAATTAAAAAAGAGAATTAAAAGTATAAAAAAATGTTTGATGAGTAATAAGCACCATTTTGTTTTTATAATTTTGTTAGTTTTTCTATTTTTAATTCTTTTTTATTTTTATTATACTTTTAATTATCTCTTTAATTTTATTTTTTATCCTTCGTGGTGGTGGTGGATTGTGGGGTTAGGTGAAGGCGTAGGTGGGTTAATTGAGAAGGTAAAATATTTTTCTTTTATTATAATATTTTAAGTTATTTGACGTGAAATTCGTTTGTACTTTTTAAAAAACGTGAAACTCTAGATACAATTTTTTTATATTATTAATATTTCTATTAATTTATTTAAAAATAATGATAAATTATTTATTTTACGGTATTATAATAGAGAACATAGATGGTAATGACATGTTAAGCAAAGAAATGTCAATCTAAGTGTCTAAATATCAAAATTGAAACAATAGAGAGTACTTGAGCAATGAAAACAAACAATAGGGAAGTTTTCACCAAATTACACATGTTTAACGGAAATGACCAATTTCACAAGAAATGTTTGAAATGAGGGTGTAAATGTCAAGTTTGAGACAATAGAGACCATTTTGACAATGAATACAAACGATAGGGATGCTTTTTGCTAATTATCCCTTCTTTTAAGAATCCTGTCACGGTTCCCTCAATTTCTTCATCAAAGAAAAATAAGGCAGGATCAAGCATCCGAATGACTCCATTGATCACGCTTCCTTCATATGATAATATCATTTTTTCATGCAGGTTTCCATATCTTGAATTTCGAATTGAAACGTTTTTGTATAATGTTGTTACTTGAATTGTTGCCTTGCTTATCCTTTAGTCAGTTTTCCTTAAAATGTTACTATGTTGATCAGTATTATGACTGAGAGGCATGGAGTCCTCTTAATGGAGGGACAAGGCTAAAAAATCAGCCATGACTCAGAACGAGGTGGGACGAGAATTATGATCCTCATCCTGTTTAAAAGTATTACATTTATAATAAAAAATTTGAAACAAATCCCATCATGTCCGCGCTTAAGCGACGATAGGGGTGAAGATGGACGTAAAATTCCCCAAAGGGGCCAAGATGAGGAACGGGGTCCCTCCCTGCTTGGAACCTGTCCCTTTGCCATTCCTATTGACCTGGATTCCTGCATTCAACGATACCAATTCTTTATACATGATTTTAATTTTGAATTGGGACGTGTGGAAGCAAAATTTGGCTGTAGATTTCAATGTATTATTTTCCCAATTTTTTGGTTTCAATCAGGTATTTTTCAGAATTTTTAAACCTCTACGTAGATTTCAAATTTCATTTTTCCCTAATATATTTTTGTCGAGTTTTCACGTGATAACATGTGTTTATATTGTCATTTTGAACTAAAATATACATAAAAAGTTGTTCGTTAAAATATGTTATGGTTTCATTAAACCTAAATTAAGAGAAAAAATGTTAATGACATTACTACAAATTCTCAACATGATTTGTCTGCCTTACCGTGCCTAAAAAAGAGAACTCCAAGTAACAACTAAGGTAGGTGCTGAGTTCGGGATTGACGACGAGATATTGATAGTTCTCGAGCTCGCTAGTAACTAGCTAATGCACTCGAGGAAATTTTATTTGAGGTCATGCAATTTTTCATCGACTTATAATCTTATTCAAGATGATCGATGAATTTCATTTTATGTTAATTTTATTAACAAACCTTTATATTGATATTTCAATTTGATCATTTTATTGAAAAATAATCTGACAATGCGTCACACTTGAATGAACGAATTTGAGACTTTGGCCAATAGAAATAATCCATTCGCAAAAGCATGGGAGCTTAATTAGTCCATGTTTGGTTCCATTTTCTAAAATTTATTTTTCTTCAAACTCATTTAATGGGATTCTCAGCTTTTATCAACTTTTCAACAATTTTCAATCAACATTTATCAAAATTTACTGAAGATCTGATTTTTATCTAAACCAAACATGTGCTTAATTAGTGAACACCAGCCTCAAACATCAGATAGGATATTTATCTACGAATCGCAATACTGACAAGCTTAGATAAGTAAAAATAAAAACCCTGAAAAACAAATGAATAAAAAAGAAAACAAAATTATATATAGAGAAAATTCAGCCAAAGCATTGATCACTGGGAAGTGGCCCAGGAATAGAACCCTGCTGAATAAACTGCAAGCCAAACACCACTACAATGGCAAGCAATGACAAATATGACAACCCTTCAACAGCTCCCAACAATCCAAATGGACCATTAGGCAAACCTGAACCAGTTTTAGACTTTGTATACAATGACCAACCCACAATTGCCACCACTACTAGGTAACTCACTCCCTCAAGTGCACCAATTGATCCTCCGGGCCCGGGCGGCAGGCCGCAGCCTGTCGTCTTAAGCGTGAAAAGAGACCATCCGATTACCGGGGTGGCAACCAATCCTCCGACAATGGCTGCTGCCTCGACTGCGCTATTGCCGCTTTCGCTACCTTCTTTTGCCATGGCACGGGCTTTAAGTCGTTGACTAGAAGGGAATTTGCTTCTATTTTTGACATTGTGATTACTTTTGGTTTGTAATAGGGGCTGTGTTGAGTGAGGTGGAGATAAGAGCAACATCTTAAGAGAGGCAAACGTTAGGCTTAGACAAGTGAAGTTTTTAAAGATTGGAAAGTAATGTATTCATATTATGAGTGATGCAAAATTGCACCTTATCCACTGGCACTAGGTGGATGGGGGGGTTTTGTTGATTTTGGAAAAGGCCTCTTTTGATTGTCTATATAGAAATTAGCCCTTGACTTTCAAAAGTAAAGTCAAATGACCATAGTGCCTGATTAAGCTCGAAGAGAATTTCTCCTCAAAATTCATGATAGGACATGCACCTCAATTTCATCGGCTTGAATTCAATGGTTACATGTGAATTTTTGAATTATAATTAGAAATTGAAAGCAACATAAGAGAAGATTTCTCACTTTAATACATATATAAGATAACTTCAATTTTAAAAGTTTTTAGTGTTCTCGAAGCACTGCTTAATCGACACTTGTTTGCTCTCTCACTAAGGGCCCACTTGGGAGGATTAAGGAATTTTTTTTTATTTAAAGTATCGGTTTTAGGCATTTATTAGTGTCTAATTTTTAGTGATTTTTAGTAATAATTTTTAAAATAATCCAACCTATACCTGGATGTTTATTATTCGGTGATTTTAAAAGATCTTAAAAGATAAAATTACATTTAAAATTACATTTATGCCTTCCAGTGACATTTCAATTTTTTTATTTTTTGCATGAATTTTTTTTTACTCATAATTAATATTTTACTGATAAATAATTTTGTTACATATAAGTTAGTTTTTAACTTAAACAGTAAAATGTTTACTTATAATTAAAATTTTAAACTTGTGAGTAATTTTTAATTATAAGCAAATTTTAAGTTATAAGTTAACTTAGTACTTTTAATTTTTTTTTTTTTTTACAATATCAAATTTTACTTATAAGTAATTAGTATATTTTATAAGTAAGTTTTTGTCTTATTAATAATGTTTTTATATTATAAGCAGTTTTTTTTATTTACACAAAAATGTATTTATATATGTCATTTTTTATTTGTAAGTAACATTTTAGTTGTAAAGTATTTTTATTTTTATTTTTTTGCTTATAAATAATTTTTTGAATTATTTATTTTTATTTACAAGTTAGTTGAACAACGTCTATGGGTCAAAAATAATTCTTTTACGAAGGGTAAAATTGAAAGAGAATTTGGAAAATTATCAAAATTCATCGATTTTGTGAGTTGAGAAATACGTATAAAATACACTACACCGAACCACCAAAAATTAGTGTCCATAAAAAGTAATAAATACTGATTTTCTCAACATAGATGGTGCCACCTAAAAAACGATCAAAATCGTAAAAGAAGACTCCCAAAGAAATCCTGAGGTGCCAATTCTCCATGCACCCAATAATAACAATAAAGCTAATTGAACAAACATGGTTGATAACCATGTGTTATCAAAATCGGAGCTTTTGACATAAAAAATAGTTCTTAAAATGGATGAATATGATATTGTCAAGCAATGTTATTAACAATGATTGTACATATAGCATGACTCCAATAATAAAGAACCCATCATTATTTACCAACACAAACAAATACTTAAATCGTAAATTATGAATTGCATTTTAACGGCTACATCCCTGGCCGAATAATGAATAAATAAATATACAATACGTATAAAGGTTTGAGTTATTATTAACAAGTTAGTTGACATTTTAGAATGAAACTCAAAATTTTAATAAGGTGTCAGAGCATATTTACGTGTTATCAAAATCAGAGCTTTTGACATAAAAAATAGTTCTTAAAATGGATGAATATGATATTGTCAAGCAATGTTATTAACAATAATTGTACATATAGCATGACTCCAATAATAAAGAACTCATCATTATTTACCCAACACAAACAAATACTTAAATCGTAAATTATGAATTGCATTTTAACGGCTACATCCCTGGCCGAATAATGAATAAATAAATATACAATACGTATAAAGGTTTGAGTTATTATTAACAAGTTAGTTGACATTTTAGAATGAAACTCAAAATTTTAATAAGGTGTCAGAGCATATTTAAATTCAACGAGTAAACTCGATTCAACAAATATTCAAACGAGCCCATAAGTTTCAAGATTGATATACTCAAGTGAGCTCATTTAAAGTTATAAATCCCACATAAAAAAATAGAAATATTAATTAATAAAAGAGGTTGTATTACTCATTTTAATAAGATTAACATTTTAAAATGGAACAACGTATCTTAATATCATATCAGAGTTCATTAAATTTCAATGAGCGATTCGATCCGATTAAGAATAAAATAAGTATATGGATTTCAAAATTCATGTTCTAAAAAATACCATATTGTAGAGACATCTTAATAGATAAATACCGGGTTATGCTACATATACACAATGTTTTATATCTCTGTAAGTTGACGAATTTCGATATATTGATCTTAATAACACATTTTTTAATCAATGGTTAAATTTTTGACACGTATTATGTGTCAACAAAGGTGTACACATAGGCTTACCCATAAATCTCATATCAAATAATATTAAAATAATACACAATATGTAAGAATTTGTTACTGCTCTTAACAACATTGATACCTTAAGATGAAACTTCAAGTGTTAATATGACATCACGAGCAATTCAAGCCGATAGAGACTTATTTAACAGGACTTCAACTTTTGCTTCATTTTTTTTTTTTTTACTTATTATAGAATAATTTTTTGGGGAAGCTATCTTAAATTAGTTTTTTTTTTTAAAAGCTCTTTTAGTTAGACAAAACACTTTTAAAAAGCTATCCAAATATGTTCAGAAACAACGTTTTGATTTCAAAAGTAATTTTTGACTTTTCAAAAGATTAATCAAATGGATTTTTAATAACGTTCACCTTTTAATATACAATTATGTTGTTTTACCATGTATAGAACCCCTACTAACCCTCATAGTAGGTAGGTCCCACCTGTATAAAAAATTAGCCAAAACCCCATACACCTCCCTCCCCCCCATGTTGTGAGTGTTCAGTAGGGGTGAACCCCTATCCGTACCTCAAGCATAATTGTTTAAGATATATCTTTTGTAGACGCTTTTTATGTGCATAATGCATAGAGACATTTATATAGACATCTACCATGAACACGTCATGCAAGATCCACAAAAATGGAGACATGTTATAAGATTAGCAAGGAACGAAAGAACGTGTGGCCACCCCTCATTATAAGAGAGGTCGAGCTCGATCACTTTGTGGGTGGTCACTATATGTTGCCCACCCGTTTACAAGGGTAGTCGAGCTCCACCTCACAATTGAGTTTCGCCACCATATGAGCAGTCTCGCATACGTTTTCTCATCATCATCATCATCTCATGGGTAGTTGTAATCATAGAAATATTAATTAATAAAAGAGGTTGTATTACTCATTTTAATAAGATTAACATTTTAAAATGGAACCACGTATCTTAATATCATATCAGAGTTCATTAAATTTCAATGAGCGATTCGATCCGATTAAGAATAAAATAAGTATATGGATTTCAAAATTCATGTTCTAAAAAATACCATATTGTAGAGACATCTTAATAGATAAATACCGGGTTATGCTACATATACACAATGTTTTATATCTCTGTAAGTTGACGAATTTCGATATATTGATCTTAATAACACATTTTTTAATCAATGGTTAAATTTTTGACACGTATTATGTGTCAACAAAGGTGTACACATAGGCTTACCCATAAATCTCATATCAAATAATATTAAAATAATACACAATATGTAAGAATTTGTTACTGCTCTTAACAACATTGATACCTTAAGATGAAACTTCAAGTGTTAATATGACATCACGAGCAATTCAAGCCGATAGAGACTTATTTAACAGGACTTCAACTTTTGCTTCATTTTTTTTTTTTTTACTTATTATAGAATAATTTTTTGGGGAAGCTATCTTAAATTAGTTTTTTTTTTTAAAAGCTCTTTTAGTTAGACAAAACACTTTTAAAAAGCTATCCAAATATGTTCAGAAACAACGTTTTGATTTCAAAAGTAATTTTTGACTTTTCAAAAGATTAATCAAATGGATTTTTAATAACGTTCACCTTTTAATATACAATTATGTTGTTTTACCATGTATAGAACCCCTACTAACCCTCATAGTAGGTAGGTCCCACCTGTATAAAAAATTAGCCAAAACCCCATACACCTCCCTCCCCCCCATGTTGTGAGTGTTCAGTAGGGGTGAACCCCTATCCGTACCTCAAGCATAATTGTTTAAGATATATCTTTTGTAGACGCTTTTTATGTGCATAATGCATAGAGACATTTATATAGACATCTACCATGAACACGTCATGCAAGATCCACAAAAATGGAGACATGTTATAAGCTTAGCAAGGAACGAAAGAACGTGTGGCCACCCCTCATTATAAGAGAGGTCGAGCTCGATCACTTTGTGGGTGGTCACTAAATGTGGTCCACCCGTTTACAAGGGTAGTCGAGCTCCACCTCACAATTGAGTTTCGCCACCATATGAGCAGTCTCGCAGACGTTTTTTTTATCATCATCATCATCTCATGGGTAGTGGTAATCATGCCTTTGCCATGCTCGAGTCATGGGTTAAATTTTGAGGACAATCAAGTTAATTAATAACTGGCTATAAACAGATATCATTGCTAATAGTATTTTATGTTCTTGTACTTTATTTTTTAATTATCTCTTTGTTATCTACGTTTGCTTTTATTTTTCACGTGTTACAAATTATAAGTCATTTTCTTATTAGAGTGTAGGTGATTTTTTATTTTTCTAATATGTACCTATAATATGTCTTGCTTTTAACAAATATGAACAATTCCTATTTAAATCATTATTTGATGTGGATGTACGCTAGAAAAATACGTAAGAAAAATCTTAATCAATATGAAAATGAAAACAATCATATCTTTATGGATCAAAATGATTAATATCTTGTGACAAAGTTTACTACAAAATTACCGAGACATAATTGGGTTGCTAAATCTATTGGTTGATAAGTTTATAATATTTTAACTAAATTAATTTGTTATCCATATGTTAAGAATGATATTGAATAAATCATTATATATACACCATCACTTTCA